TTCTATGAGAAGTGTTTTAGGTCAGAACAAAAATAATCCCTCGTATAAATTGCCAGAGTTTGAACACATTTCTTTTCTGTTGTAGGGAAGGCAGGTCAGATGGCGGCTGATGCAGACACGGAGGCCCCCGGAGGCGAAGGCTGGGGAGACGATGCTGAGCTTCAGCTGGATGAAGGTACATTTCAGTGTGAATTAAAAAATGTCACATCATAATTTCTGAATTATTCAGTATAAACTCATATTTATCTTTCCCTATCTTTCTCTGTCTCTCAGATGGCTTCATGGATGCCCAGGATGGCATAGGAGAGGAAGGCGTGAAAGAGGAGGGAGGAGGCTGGGAGGTGGAGGAAGACCTGGACCTTCCTCCAGAGCTGGTGAGAGCCGCTGCAAATCCCACCATCAATAAATCATGGTTAACACCAGGCACTAAAACAGTGTTTATAAGCCGCTTTCGCTTTTGGTGCGCGGGGCTAATGCTAATGCTAATAATGCTAATGCCAGCAAATACAATGGCGGCTTCACAAAACTTTTCCGAGTTTTACGGGGCGTGGTTTGCAATCCGCCCAGCCAATCAGAAATGGGAACCTTTTTCTCCCCAGGAAAGTACCACCTCTCTAGCAGGCACTGAAAAGGGGGGAAAAGTTCTCATGAACTAAGTAATCTTTTTGGTGTGAACGCAAAATCCCAGGAACTAAAAGGGAAAAGTACGGGGAAAAGTACTCCGATGTGAAAGTGCCTATAGATTCAACATAAGTTCTTTAAAGATAAAACCCAATATACTGTCAGCATTATCTTTTATTATACAACAGGCCTCTCATTTTCCAAATCTTTGCACCGTTGAAGCTAAATGTTGCACTGACTCGTTCATTTTTGCGCTCTCCTACACTTTAATGATGTTGAATGTTTACATCTCTCATCACAATGTCTGTCCCCGTGCCATCAGGACCTGCCGGCTGCAGGTGGAGGAGCAGAAGACGGATTCTTCGTCCCACCGACGAAGGGCATGAGTCCCACACAGATCTGGTGCAACAACTCCCAGCTGCCAGTGGACCACATCCTGGCCGGCTCGTTCGAAACTGCTATGAGAGTATGTATACAATTTCCCATTTATTTCCAATAGTTCTTTTGTTTCGCTTTTTTAAATTAACAATGTATTGACTTGGGCAAAGCATCAATTGTAATACATCTAACTAACGCATTAATTGTTCTTCCTGTCGTGCCACAGTTGCTCCACGACCAGGTAGGAGTTGTGAGCTTCGAGGCCTACAAGCCGCTGTTCATGCAGACGCTGTCCCGAGGCCGCACCTGTCACCTGGGGCTGCCTTCACTGCCCTGCCTGCGTGGAAACCCCCAGAGGAACTGGAAGGTAAAGCTGACAGTCATCCCTTACTCAAAGTCTCAGTATATTCCCTGTCAGTCATGGGGATTAATTGAAATGAATAGTAAAGTCTTTGAATAAATCACTTCCTGCTTTCCTGTTTTTTTAAACTTGGTTACTTAGATTCAGTTTCATTATACATACATGTTCACATTTTGGTCAACAGGTTTTCCATTTTCATTTAGCTGTATCTACATAGCCAACATAAGAAAAGAAAAAAAGTACAAAAAGAGATAAATAAAATAGACATATGAAAAGATAAATACATACAAATAATAAAAATAAAACTGCTTTCCTGTTTTGAAACCCATTTTATTTACAGAATGTAATCTTGCAAATGTACAAATATTGTAATGTTCTTTTACTTTAGGACTGTGGGGCAAAGCAAGGCCTCCCTGCTGTGGGCCTGCGCCTCTCCGACCTCATCGCCCGCCTGCAGCAGTGCTACCAGCTGACCACCTCCGGGCGCTTTGAGGAGGCTGTGGAGCGCTTCAGAGCCATCCTGCTGTCCGTTCCTCTGCTGGTGGTTGATAACAAGCAGGAGATCGCAGAGGTGAGAACCAAACCAGCTTGAAACTCCAAATGCAGCATGAATCATTTCAATGTGTCAAGAAATCCCTTGTGGGGCTGCTGCTATATTTAAAAATATCTTGAAGTTTGACTGTTTTAAAATGTGTAAAGGTCACCTGTGTGATTGGGATCTGTGTGTGTTTCAGGCTCAGCAGCTGATCACAATCTGCAGAGAGTACATCGTGGGTCTGACCATGGAGACCGAGAGGAAGAAGTTGCCCAAAGACAGCTTGGATCAGCAGAAGAGGCTGTGTGAGGTAAATATCCGTGTCCTTCAAAAAAGAAAACGGGACTTTTTTTTACAGGACATCTACAAAATTAGACTAAAACAAGTTGATACAAGTACTCTTTTATTCGTCAAGTCCTCAATTTATATAACATGCAGCTGAATCAATAGTTCTCTTAGCTACTCAGTTGCCCTATTAAACCTTTTATATTCAATTTAATTTTAAAGTGGATTGACTGTTTTAATTTTTCTGACTTCATTGTTTATTCTGTGTCAAATGTGTTTAATTATGTCTACATGTTATTCTATTGTGATTACCTTACACTTTGTGATGTTCTCATATCTAGTCTCTTACTTTTTTCCCTATGTTATATTACAAATTGATCTAAATCTCAAGTCACCTTGATTGAGTGTCAAAACAGTAGTTGTAGACTGCCAAAATGTTTCCACAAATTGATCTTTTCTTTATACTTCTGTCATTCCTTAGTCTAATTTTCTAATGTTTTTATGTGTGTGTTTTCCCTACAGATGGCTGCTTATTTCACCCACTGTAATCTCCAGCCAGTGCACATGGTGCTGGTGTTGCGCACAGCTCTGAATCTCTTCTTCAAGCTGCGTAACTTCAAGACGGCTGCCAGCTTCGCTCGACGCCTGCTCGAGCTGGGGCCGAAGCCAGATGTTGCACAGCAGGTTGGTTGTTAGACACACACTATCAATTAATGGGATTGTAATTGACATTAGTTATCAAGTTTACAGTCTTTAATTGGACAGTAATATACTTTTTTTCTCATCTCTTCCCACCATTCAGACCCGCAAGATTTTGGCAGCCTGTGAGAAGACCCTCACAGATGCGCACCAGTTGAACTACGATCCCCACAATCCATTCGACCTGTGCGCTGCGTCGTTCGTCCCGCTGTACCGTGGACGTCCTGTTGAGAAGTGCCCTCTGTCTGGAGCCTGCTACTGCCCCCCGTACAAAGGCCAGATCTGCAGGGTCACTCAGGTAGGTCAAGACTCGAGACAGCAATGTTCAACTCCAGTCATCCTGAAAAGCTCTTAAAGGTCACCTATTATGCAAAATCCACTTTTTCATGTCTCTTCTACATAAACATGTGTCCCCTCTGTGTAAAGAGATTCTGAAAGTTTCAGGAAAAAAGATTCTCTCTTTTTGTCCTGATCCATTTATATAAAAACCTGTCTGAAAATGAGCTGATCAGATTTTGGCCACTTTATGATGTCATAACGATTTTTTGGCTTGTGTAACCATTAGCCAATCACTAACCAAGGTAACCCCCCCCCACATTATCACCTGAATCTCCTCCTAGAGCACCATTGTGTTCTTTTTAACCAAATATCTCTCTGAGGGGCGTGGGGAGGGGCTCCTTATTTTCATCTAAAGTAACAGACAGAGAATCAGCACTTTGGAAACAGGGCTGAAACAGAGGGGATTATGGGATGCTGCAATGATCTGTTTGGTGTTTGGAGCCAAACACTTCAGAGACATGTTTTGTATATATCTGAGACCTATATTATATTGATGAAAAACAGTATAATAGGGGACCTTTTAAATTAAAAGATTACATTTATAACTCCTTTTATGAAAACAAACTTTTAAGACTATCAGAGTTACAATAGTATGGAGGGAAAATAGTTCCAATTGTAGTGACAAATATACAATTTCAAGACCATTTCTACAGATTTAATTAACTTAATGTTGAATGTTGACATTTATTCAAGTTTGGTGCTATGTTTGGAGGAGGAAGACACATTTGTGAACAACATTATGAATTCACCAATCTCATACACATTTATAAATCTTGTTTTATCTCTTGGTCATAAAATGAATTTTGTTCAATTACTAGGACTATTTGTATCCATATGGGAGTAAGTAAACTCAATAACAAAGAAAATTAGGGGGGAAATTACAAAATCACAGCCTGAAATACAATAAACTACTCCAGATGTTGATTCATTAGAAAGATTATTGAGAGTCTTTCTGTGTGATTGTGTAGATATGTGTCTTTCACTAGAAAAATACATTGCATCTTGTTAATTACTTACCTTTTACCTTTTAATTTCACCTTATTTTCTAGGTGACTGAGATCGGTAAGGATGTGATCGGTCTGCGTGTGAGTCCTCTTCAGTTTCGTTGAGAGGAGATGAAGACCAGACGAGGAAAATAAAAAGATGAACGCATCCACACTTAAATAATACAGATTGACATGAAATATTAAAGCAGAGATATAAATGTTTGCGCACAGTGATGTTAAACCTCTTAAATGCTTTTAACTATCTTATTCCCTGCATCATCTATCCTGCTAAAAGCTTGTTGTAAGCAATTCTGTGTTGTGGCTTCATTAGAGCTGTAACGGTTGTCTCTTTTCTGACTGCTATGTGATGAATAATTCAAAGAGCACTGCTCCGTGTATCTAGGGGGGAAAAAACTAAATAAAAATGTCTACAAAAGGAAATGTATTTGTGTGCTGCGTTTTATTTGGTATGTAAGCTTACCTTTCAATAAAAGGATGATGGTTTTATTGTGTGTAGGCCTATATAAAAACGGTTGAATAATATCCAAAGTGCACCACAGGGCTGAGTCATAAGGGAAGTGAAAGGCGTTGACTCTCCTTAGTTGGCTAAATGGTAGCAGAGTAAGAAAGAGATACGTTCATATTTTACGTATGTCTGTTTTACCTCACGCTAAAATGTGTTATAAATATATATTTTAAAATACTATTTCGTTGCAGATATTTTAAAGCTGCCATTTTGAATGAGTCCGTCTCCTTTCAAGGGAGCGGAACTAAAAAACAATTGAACCCGGACGTCTTTCACGTCAACACCCACTGTTGTTTCTGCTTTTTTAAACCAGGAAGATGGATTTGCTCTCGAACAAATGGATAGTTAATTTGCTAGTTTCTTGGTTTTTCATCGGTAAGTTTTTATTCTGAGAACGGAAATTATCTGTGCCTCAGTATTTACTTTAGTAGTATGTGTTTCTGTGTCAGTTAGCTTCCTGTACTTCTTTGTGTAGCCGGATGCTAAGCTAACCACCGTTAGCAGAAGCTGTTTGGTTTACATCTCCATTGCCGGATGTTAATGTTAAGTTTTACAATGAGGTTTGACGTTGGAGCAAATATTGGGTTATTTAAATGATCTGGAAGCTCTTAAATCAGGTTCAGCTTATTACTCTGTACCCGTAGATAGCTTTGCAGATAAAAAAGACAAGGGATCCATTATGACACACTCAAACCACACAGACAACAGACACATCTAAAAAAACTACTCCGTCACATCTAGAAACATTTAAAAACCACTTGGACAAACACTCCAGAAAGTTAATACATAAATAGGCATTGTTTCCATGTGTGACTGTGACACAGCTACAACTTGTTCATTTGTGCCATGGCTGCTGGAATAAAGCTGTTTTTATACCGCTTTGTTCTACACTTTGGGACAACTAACTGTAGAAATAACTACAGGACTGTTATTATTAAATGCTTTTCGCGACTTTTCCTTCATATATTGGGCCAGCCCTCATGACCAAGCATCAGCGTGACTGCTCGTGATCCACCGGCCGCCTAGAGGGATTAATGCTGCAACAGTCAGGCCAAATTACATACAAAATAGCATCGTTTTAATATGATTTAGTTGTCTGGAAACAAAGAAAGCAACTAACTCTCAAAGGAAGATATTTCCTAGATGTTAAGGGTTCCCTCGTTAATTCGGCATTCAGTTGATCCTCCAACATAGCACCAGGGGTGGGAAGTAACTAAGTACATTTACTCAAGTACAGCACTTGAGTACAGTTTGGAGGTACTTGTACTTTACTTGAGTATTTAAATGTATTGCTACTTTGTACTTGTACTTCCCTTCAATTCAAAGGTAAATTGTGTACCTTTTACTCCACTACATTATTTTAATGATATGGAATATAAATCAGACTTTAGTTACATATGGAGTAAAATTCACAAGCTACCTTGCAGCATACACAGTTATTAAACTAGCTGCACCTTTACCAGCTGTGATAACAATTAGTTTAATGCATCAATAATTGTGATCCAAACATATCATATATTATTCTGGGAATACATGTAATGGGCCAAGAAGTACTCACTTTTGGTACTTAAAGGTGGGGTAGGTAAGTTTGAGAAACCGGCTCGAGATACACTTTTTGTTATATTCCATGGAATGCTCTTAACATCCCGATAGCAATGAATATCTTAAGTGCTTTGACAAAAATCCCTAAAAAAATGTCATCTGTGGAAGCCGTAGTACTGTAAAAAGCACGACCAATCATTTTAGCCGGCCCGGCTAAAATAACTGGATGGCCTACCTGCCTGTCAGCCTTCCATCTGTGCACAAACTTATCTCGTGCCCTCATTGGTCATGTGCGCGTTCGTGTGTGTTGGAGGAGGGGCTCTGTAAGGAAGTGGCAGATTTTTTCCGGCTGTGTATTTTCAAATTCTAGCACACTCGAGCTGGTTTCTCCAAAATTACCTACCCCACCTTTAAAGTATATTTTGATGCTAATACGTTTGTACATTTACTTGAGTAACATTTTGAATGCAGGACTTTAACTTCTAACAGAGTATTCATTCACTCTGGTACTTCTACTCTTACATAAGTACAAGATCTGGGTACTTCTTCCACCTCTGAACTTTAGTATTTATAGTAAGAATATTTGTCCTAATTAAAAAGAGTATTAATACAAATGTTATTATTTTGCTGGTTAAAGATGTGACTTTAGTTTTAAGTTCTCTGAACAGTTGAACCCAGTTATCTTTAACAGAAATTCAGTTTTTCTTTCTTTATTGTGCAGTTTTGGTAAAAACCTGTGCCCTAATGTTATATTGCTTCTTTGTGCAGTTGTTAAATGCTTTCTTTCTCTTGCAGGTGTCGGCTGTAATTCAGTGGAAAAGAAGATTTATGTGCATCTCAATTACACTGTTCCCTGTGTGCGACTTCTCAATGCAACACATCAAATAGGATGCCAGTGTGAGTAGAGCAAAAGATAAAAATGTTCCAAAGTACTTGTGATGTTAATACAACAAACATCAACGACATTCATGACAACAACCTATCCTTGTTACTGTTAACACTTCGCAAATGGGTTGTGGTCAAATGCTTACTACACATCTTTTCAAACTCCAGGCAGTTTTCATCTTGAAACAAGTCAATGTTGTGACTTTGAGAGACAGACATTCATTGAGAAAGAAGATAAGAGCACACGAGTTGCAAGACATTTTCTGATTATAAGAAGCTGTAAGATATAGTGTACCTTTTTTATACCACAAAAAGCCCCCGCAGTAGCAATTTTCTCTTTGCTGTATACAAAAAGATTCACCCTAGAAAACATTTCCTGTAATTGAGAAGAGGCCACATCGATCTCATATCTCAGATGCTGATTTTGAGTTTCCTGTTTTCGCTTTTCAGCCTCGCTGTCAGGTAACGTGGGCGTCCTTCATGTGCTCGAGTCAGAGGAGAACGTTGACTGGGTTCTGGGGACTGGGGCCAATCCTCCTTATCTGGTCATCCTGGAGTCTGCGCTCTTTACCAGGTACAGTCAACATTTCTCACCCTGCAGAGGAAGCAGGATTTACTTAGTAAGGGTTTACATCTGTATTCTGGCATTGTCAGAAAAACATTTCTCACCCTGCAGAGGAAGCAGGATTTACTTAGTAAGGGTTGCATCTGTATTCTGGCATTGTCAGAAATCACGTGTGCTTATAGTGCTTACAGCTCACAATGCAGTACTGTGCCTTCCGTATCTGATTCACTGAACAACAACCTTGTCTCTGAAGAACACTTCACTTCAAATGTTTATAATCCATCACTAAATTCATGGCAAACTAATTTATCATCATGCAATAACACTAAGAAGGTATTGTAGTATAATTCAACTGTAAATGCTTCTTATATTTTTTAATAAGTTGCACTTTTAGTGAGAAATGTGGGACTTTTTTCGCTTCTTTTTTTGTGTATGTATTGATTCTACTCTCATTATTTGTTATGATTGTTGTCTGTCATTCAACATTGAAACAGGCGCCATGGTCAAACTGAACAAACGTAAACGTGATTGTGTTTTTTGTGAAAGTTGACAGTTTACTGAAGTTAAAGATGGCATGGCACATTGAATATAATGTGTTTGATCAAACTGTAACTATATAGAAACTATGCATAACTCATATTTTTAAACGACACCAAAAAACCCTAAAGCATCCCCTAAAGTACTGCAAACTACACCTGTAGCTACCATTAAACGCAATTTGAGAAATAGTGGGTTAAATAATAGTGAAAATAAGTAGTTCAGTAAATCATACACATTTCGGAAGTTAGAGTAGCAGCTGAAGAAGATGTAATTACTTCATGACATGTCAGTTAGTAAAACTCAATAGGTAACACGTTGTCAAACAAATATACAGTACAGGTGATTGAGTAAATTCCACCTGTTAAACCATGAGGAAGAAAAACACATGAACCCATGTCTGACCTGTGTTTGTACCCGTATCGTTTACACCGTGCCGTCTGTCTGCCGTCAGATCCATCATGATGAAGCTGAAGAACGGCTCCGGCAGGGTGGCAGGCGTCGCTGTTATTATGCCGAACACAAACCCGCTGGAGGGCTTCTCCCCACACACCTCCTGTCCCAACGAGAACACAGGTGAGGGAGGGTTCACCTGCTCAGACTTGTCCCTCAGTATTACACAAATGAATTGTAGTTTTATGATCTTCCCAAAGGCTCAAGATTACATGCTGTAGTTCAGTTTTTATGTTCTGTGAACGCTTTCTGCAACATGGTGATGTCACTATGTCGAAATGTGTGACAATAAAACACTGAATTAATTTCTCATTCCTCTATAATTTGTATGTTCTGTGAGACAAATACCATAAAGTTAAGTCTGCATGTGTAAGCAGAGTTACTGTCTTAAATGGAAAATGATATCTGACAACAAACATGGAAAAGGTCACAGTCATAAAGATATATATTTTTTAAAAGCTAGTGAGAAGTGTGAAGTCAGAAGAGTGGATAGTTCTCGATGTTTCTTTTTAATCTATTAATTATCTTCTATTAATGGTTAAATAAAAAATGCAATAGGTTTAGATAAAATGACCATCAATTTTAAATATTTTAACTTTTGAATGTTTCAGTCAAATTGGCAGAAATGGTGTAAAAACTACAATACCCATGATCTTCTGCTGCCTTTCCCTTTTTACATGAAGCTCGCTTGTAGAAATGAGGCAGCTACAAACTGATACTAGTTTTAGCTTTAATTTATTTATGAAAGTCTGCTCATACAGTACACACTTGTATTTCCCCCAGGTGTGTATTCAGAGACCTACGATCCATCCTTGGCTCATTGTAACGTGACGATGTGGAACCCTTTTGGAAACGGCTTGTCCTATGAGGAGTTCGATTTCCCCATCTTCTCCATGAAAGACGACAAGGACACTCGGGTCATTCGGCAGGTACAATGACATGAATCATTTTCACGAAATCTAATATTTTATTTGTTAATCCCATCTGATATTACTACTTTGCTCTTACAGTTATTTTGTGTTGTCATTACTGTCACAAAATGGCTGTCTAAGTGTTTCCCAGAAATGTTTTCCGAACACTACAATAAATATCTGATCTGAACTTGTACCCTTAGTGGTTTAGATAAGTTGCTGATAAAGCTGTTTCAGTAGAAGTAAGGATAATTTATTTCTAACTCCATCATGTCGTGGCACATTATGCTGAGATTTATCAGAACCCACAAACCCTACCCGCTTTTTTCAATGTTATATGTGACATAAGCAGACGGATCATTTTACATAGGTATGGAATATCTGTTTCTGATGCAGTGCGAGAGAAATGGCTGAGCTGCCGAGTTATTATCTCAGATTTCAGTTTCAGCTCACTGATAACGGCCCACTTCAGATTAAATCTTGACTTTTAAAACTTAAAGTGCACCTATCATGCTATTTTTAGGCAATAGCATAGGTCTCAGATATGTACAAATATATAAAAAACATGTCTATGAAGTGTTTTGCTCAAAATACCAAACCGATCACCCATTCTAGCCATGCCTCATATCCCTCTATTTCACTTCCTGTTTCAAAAGTGCTGATTTTGGGTATGAAGCTTTAAAAAAAAAAAGGGAGGGGGCTGAGCTCATGCGGGACGGGCAGCTACTGTCTAAACTAAATACTGCGGTGATGAAAACGCCATATCATGGATTATCAAGGATTATTTCTGAAACAGTATGGAGCTCAAAGGCTTTCTCTCTTGCCGGTTATACCACAAGGTGAGTTCCTTTTTATTTCCTGCTTCTCCAGTACAGGTTAGCTCTGAGTGTTAGCGATGCTAATGTAAACATGCACCGACCATATTACGTCCAAAACAGTCGGGCATTGTTTCTGATAGCAACGTTGCTGATAGGGCCGTGTGTGTAAAGCCAGCCTACATTTCCGATATTACGTCATATCGGACGCAAATCTGGATCAGCTCCGTGGTAGCCCCGTTTTTAGAGATTTGGGTACGGAGGAAAAGAGAGAGGGTTACATTTTCTGATGCTGCGTGAGTTCTCTGACACACCGGGGACACATATTTATGTATAAAAGACATCAAAAAGTGCATTTTGCATGATAGGTCCCCTTTAATATTTCTCTTTGAAGGGCTGTTTTTTTTCTGAAACTCTTTAAAGTGGCTCTTATATGCTTTGGGGGATTTTCCATTTCCTGTAGTGTGTTCTATAGGTTTTTGTGCATGTAAATTGTTTGCAAAGGCTAAAATCCATGTGTTCCCTCCAGAGGACATCACTATGTAACACCCGGGCTTCTATTGGCTAGCGCTCCAAAATATTGTACGTGATAGAGTAAGGGGTGGGACATCTCTAAGCGGTTGACCAATCCGAGCAGACTGGGCTCTGGTTTCAGACACGGGGTGAAAAGAGGTGGTAGGCAGTATCAGAAAAACAAAGACCTTTTTAAACATTAAAGCATAGAGATGTCACAGTAGAGGAACAAAATATGAACCTTAAGATGAGCCCCTTTAATGACTTTGGCTTTGTACTTGAACAGACAGTTTGAGATTTGATCCTGTGATGAAAATGTAATCCCAATCATGATAGTTAGAGTATCACTGTGCCCAAACCTGCCACTGTGCCCCTTAGCAACAGCTCCAGACCCAACAGCATATGTTGCAACTTGTTTTATTGACTGAAAAGTATCTGAGCTTCTCTTAAATACTATAATGTCCCCGTGGCTTCTGTACAAAAACACACACACACAAGAGGTTTCATATTATGTTCTCCTCTCGCAGTGTTACATGGATCATAACCGCGGTGTGAATGGCAGCGTTCCTCAGTACCCGCTGTGTGCCATGCAGCTCTACTCTCACATGTCCGCCGTCACCGACACGGCCACCTGCATGAGGAGGAACGACCTCAACTTAAGCCTCAGCCCAGGTATTTACACAACATGGATGAATATACACAACACGTATTCCTGTCACGATAACTGCTTTTGTAGGATGGCAGTTTGACCCAGAAATAGTTGTTGTTTTAAGACCATTTTATGCCACTGATATAATGGTTATATGATAATGGTTCACCGTTTTTTAAAGAGCTATGCACCTTGTAATGTTTAAGTATATTCCGACATTGAAATTGGAATGTGAAAAGAATGTAAATTAAATATCCTAAATAAATAAAGTATATATATATTAAAAAAAACAGACAACCACAACAATAAATAAAAAGGTTGCTATTAACAATAAAATGGCTTAGTTTGCACAATTTCCAAGTTTTATAATAGTAGGGAAACCCTGATGTGTATTCTGCTATATCTAAGTCAACACAAAATGATGTATCGTACAATAGGTACATATGGTAACACTGATCGAGATCATGTTCATATATCATACGATTTATTATCAAGTTAATGTCCAATTCATACAATAAGTCGTTGACATAATTATTGTCACAGGGCATTTTTTAAAGCCCACACAACTTTAGGGAGAAATCTTTTTAATTACACTAAAACGATTCTGTTTTTAGACTAACTCCATGTTGTTTCTTGTCCCTTGTCTCCCTTTAGAGATGATTTGTGATCCTTTGGGTGATTATAATGTTTGGGCCGCCACCAGACCTCTCAACACGACAGCCAAGGGCCACAAGACCGGGGAGAGCGTGGTCGTAGCAGCAGCCAGGGTGAGTTACAGGGAAAAGGTTCTGAGTTCAGGTCTTTTTTTTAGATATTTCACAACAGTACATGTGGTAGTTATTAACATGTGAGGTCATGAACACCTTTTACATTTCTTCAGCCAATATCTGTAGTGATCTCACTCGAAAAGCCAAGTCCAAGCTAACATGATGGATGTAATGATGCAGTTACAGTCTGAACAACAGACTTCCTGTGTGCTGCTTCTTGTGTAAATATTATTTTTACTTAACACTGTTGAGAACAAGAGGTATGAGAACAAAACGCAAAAATAAAAATGAGATAAGGCCACAGAGGAGCCTATTTTTAAGCAAAATCAGCTAATATTGTGCAAGGATTTTCTCTGTTATACATTATTGAGTTAGTTAGTGTTAAGACTGCTGGTTAAAGTAAACCAGGCAGGAAATGACTTTATATATTTATTTATTTTCACTATTTTTGACATTTTTATCAACTAAATGATTAGAACAGTTACTGGCAATTTAGAAAATAAGAAGCAGATAATATTAAAATAATATTAATAATACATTTTATTCATCAAGGGCTTTTACAAGTGCTCAAACATGCTTTATAGGGATGCTCTGATCGATTGGCCACCGATCGATATCTGCCGATCGATCGGTGCTCTCTAAAAATGCCGATTGCGAGAGCCGATCGCGAGACGTAAAATACATGACACTTTTCTCTGCGCGGCAAAACAAGCTCGCCAAAATGGCTTCACCAGTCTGGCAGTATTTTAAGGTGTCCGAAAAAGACAGTAAAATAGCGGTATGCAACGTGTGTGTGAAGCAGAAATCCTGCAGCTCCACCCGCTGTGACGGACCGGTGAGCGGAGCAGAACACACACTAACGGCCCGTCCACACAGCGGCGTGCGTTGAAGCTTCAACGCTTCTGCCCATTCACTTTGAATGGGATGACGTCACGCTTCGCCGAACTGCATTGTGGGAGCGAGGCGTAGCTTTGCTCGCGTTATCTCGAGCCGGTTTCTCAAACTTACCTACCCCACCTTTAATGTAAACTTGAATAATGTACTTCATTTGAATGTAATAATTATGTTGGTTGTTGTTTGTGGAAGCGCCAGTGAATGAGCCTCATTAACTGAGTTTTAAACATCACTTTAAATGGAAGATCCCCATAGGCCCCGCCCACTCGATCGGATCGGCGATCGGTATCGGCCGATACTGATTCTGGCGATCGCCCCCAAAATTGGCGATCGGAGCATCCCTAATGCTGTACAAAGATAAAACATCTAAATAAAATGTATAAGAATTCATATTTGCAGCCCTACTCTACACATATCTGTTTCAAAATAAGTTCATTATAATGTAGGTAAACAAAAAAACAACATAAGCTGTATTTCGCATTTTGATATATGCTGTAATTAAATATAGGTGATTTGCAAGAGGGACTACTAACCTTGTCACAATGTCTTCTTGATGAAACTTCTCTCGTCTTCTCTGCAGTTGGACAGCCGCTCTTTTTTCTTCGACGTAGCTCCGGGTGCAGAGAGTGGAGTCTCCGGGTTCGTCAGTCTGCTGGCGGCCGCTTCTGCTCTAAAAACCGTCATTCAGGAAGCCCCGCCCAACCGCACCATCTTCTACACCTTCTTCCAAGGGGTCAGTCATTTCCACACCACGACAGCCAAAATTGCCATTGTGCTTAATGTCCTTGTCCCAATCCTGTTAAATGTATTTTTAACACTTTGTCTGATTGTTTTGACTGCAGGAAACGTTCGACTACATTGGCAGCTCCAGGATGGTTTATGATATGGAGAACAAGCAGTTTGCCGTGGACCTAGACAATGTTCACTCAGTACTGGAGATTGGACAGGTGTGTGTTTATAGACCTTCAGTTACTTTTTATTTACTATACTGTATACCAGGGGTCGGCAACCCAAGGGTGGCACGCGGCACCGTAACAAGTGGCACACTAGGAATAAGTGGAATAAGTGTGCAGAATATTTAAATTGTATTTTCGGATCCTGAACGAGACCGCCGCCAGAGCGCGTCTCCCCGTTACCTGCAGAAGGAAGCCATGCACGCAACACAGCCCCGCTCTAGTCGACTTGCTGCTGCTTTCCTCCGTGGTGAAACGATCAGGGGTGAAGTGCTGCCGGAGCGCGCCCGCACTTCACACATTGCAGTAGGCTACCCATAAGGAGCTGTACAAATGCCGCAGTTTTTGCGTGGCTGTGTCTTTAGTTGAAAGCCCAGTGGCGATCTGCTCATCTCTCATCGAAAATAATATGCTACACAGGGGCGGACTGGCCATCTGTGTGTTCTGGAGAATCACAGAACGGACGGTCGTCATTATTATTATTATGCCGTTTAAACCAATTATTTAAATTTGTTTAAACCGCATCATGTAAGTTGCGCTGACAGGTGAAAGAGGTCCACAGCGAGGCTCCCCCCGCCCCCCGCCCTCCTGCTGACAGTTCACGAGCGTCGAGCTCTTCACTCACCCCGACTCACTGACTCAAAATCACCACAATCAACCGCTCGTGAACGGTCAACGGGGGGCGTTGACCGTTCACGAGCGGTTGATTGTGGTGATTTTGAGTCAGTTTGAACTATATCTCATTCTGTTATTTATAGCCTGTAACATAACATTTCATAAAATGCAAAAAAAGTCTGTGAAAAAGTGTAAGTTAATAAAACCTAACCAGCAAACTATCACTCCTTGATAGTTATTGATACTTGGCTTAAGGAAGTTTAAAGGCCTAATATCCAACCCTACTTTAAACAGTTTCAAGCATTAAATGGACCCCTTTTAAAGACAAGACTTATGGAAACATAATTAACAAAATATATTGCATAATTGTAGTATTACTCAATTAAAATAATCTGTATATTGGGGCCAACAATTTGTGAAAGTTACGTCAAAAATATAGATGCCAAAACATTGTTAGCTGTACATTATACCCTTTTCTTGACTTGATATTTACAAGCCAATCGTTTTTATATGACATTAATCTCATCATATGTATGTTATGTTCATGTTGACATGTGGGTAGTATATTAATATATTGATTCTCCTCAGGTGGGACTTCGCGCTGACTCCAAGCTGTGGCTCCACTCGGACCCTGTGTCTCGGAAGAACGACAGCGTCAATGACGAGGTTAGTCTGCTTTAAGAGCGGATCGTTGAAATAAAAATTATGATGAAATACAAATATGAAATGATCTTCATACAACAGACATCGTCTTGGACAAATATGAGGACTAAAATAGGAAACAATGTACCATTAAGTGGATGCTTTTCTTAAGAAATATTGCTATAAAAATACTATGGTAATGAAAAGGTATAGTCTGATTCTCAGGGGCCAAATTCTAAGATTTCTAAATGTAAAACCTGCTAGAATTCAAACATGAAATGACCGCTTAAGAGCCGACTTGAAGAACAAACTAAAAAAGCACAACAGATGTAATTACTCAGCGGTGTGTGTGTGTGTGTGTGTGTGTGACTGTGTGTAACATTGTGTTGTGTTTCAGGTGAATAAGCTCATCACCAACCTGCATTCTGCTGCCGTAAATCTAAGCGTCTCCGTGGAAGAGCCCAATGTCTCCCAGCCGCTCCCGCCCTCGTCCTTCCAGCGTTTCCTCCGAGCTCGACCAATCCCCGGTCTCGTTATCGAGGATCACGAGTCTTCCTTCACCAACAGGTTATTCATCATTACACGCAATTACCTTTTTAATGGGATCTGTCTTGCCTCAAGGAATTGGCATGTGTTTATTCATTTTCCTGTTCTGTGTGCAGGTTCTACGAGAGTATGTACGATAACGCAGACCACCTGAACATGTCGTACCCAGCAAACCTGACGCAAGAGGAGCAGCTGGAGTTTGTCACCGAGACCGCTAAGGTATATCTATTTATCACCAATATTCATCATGTTTACGTGCTCTTACATTAGCTTTACAAAGACAGTCCTCATCGTCTGTTGCACTGTTTGGATTGAATTTAAAGTAGAGACATGAAAGTTTTCTTTACAGACGTCCAATGTCAGAAATCATTATCCGTTTAAATATATACTGTTTAAAAAGAACGACATCGGAAATTGTATGGTAAACATGTGGCTTAATACTGGACAGAAAACCAAAACAATGACTCGTGTGCATGGGAAACATTTGCCATTACATGCAAATAAATGAAACCGGGCATTGCCTTAAAGGGGACCTATCATGCAAAATGCACTTTTGTACGTCTTTTATACATGAATATGTGTCCCCGGTGTTCCAAGTGTCAGAAAACACAACCCTCTCTCTTTTCCTCCATACCCAAATCTCTAAAAAAGGGGCTGCAACGGATCTGATACAAACTGATCCAGATTTGAACACTGTCCTGACGTCAGGACAGTGGCGCTACGGCTATTGGGCCAACTGCACCAATCAGGAGGAGACAGCCACGGCCATTGCCGTTCGAAAGCGCTGGAGACGCTGTAGTACATATGCCAGGCCTGTAGATGGTGCTGTTCTCACTGAATCAGCCCTTGCAAAAACAGCTATAAATTGTCAAATTGAGCAAAATGAGGCATGGCTAAAATGCATGATCTGTTTGGTATTTTGAAGAAAAAAAAAGTATAAATATGCCTTATATAGGTATGGTCCTACACTATATTATTAAAATATAGCATGATAGGTCCACTTTAACTTAAAATTAAAGATATCTTTATGTTGACATTATCTTATCAACATTTGTCATAATATAAGTACACAACTCACCAAATAAATACCACAGGTCTGGTGGTTTCTAAAGATTTGCCAAACTGTCACATATCTTACCTTTCACATTTTCTGTGTTTGTGAATTGTGTCATCATCAATCACCCTTTCTCATTGTTTCCTGACGTGTCAGAGCGTGTCCTCACAACACTGCTATTAAAGTTACTGTTGGAAATGTTCTCACACATGTCGTTGGGAGGAACTAATAATAATAATAATAATGTTTGTGTTTCAGGCTCTGACGGAGGTGGCCACCCTGGTTGCTCGGGCTCTTTACATTCAGGCAGGAGGAGCTGAAGCCCAGCTGAGAAACATTAACGCTGACCCTGAGATAGTAAGATTTACTTCAGGAAATACATACCTTGTCTAGCAATCATATCTTTAATTATCTGTCCTTTCTCCACACTGCAGCCTTTCTCAAGCTGTATATGTGTTATGTTATCTAAAGTCAAAGTCTAATGGTGCTTAAATGTAGTGTTTTTATCATAAGCTGCAGGTTTCTAGAGGATGTTTCTTTCATATTGACTTGTGAGGAGAATATAGGATGGTAAAGTGTTTACAGTATCAAAGGTTTTGCAATGATATTGTTCTAGAAAACATTTAGGAGGTGATGCAAACACCTCGTTTTTACTGTTTAACCCTCATCCTGCCAGATGTTCCTTTTTACAATTATTTTTGTTTTCTTCCTTTTACACATTGCGTTTTTCAATCGCAGGGTTCTGTCTCGTTCAGTCTCTTGAAATGTGCAGTTTGACAATTTGTATTATCAATGATTTCAAACACATGTAATAGTTTTTCTGTGGTCTTTCTTGTTGGATTTCTCACCGATGCCTCATTCTTATTGGTGCATGTTTGTATTTAGCATCGGAGCAGCGGAGACTGATATCTGTTTTCTCTCCGTCAGGTGACTCGGATGCTGTACGGTTTCCTTGTTAGAACAAATAACACCTGGTTCCAGCAACTAGTCCCCTCCGACCTCATGAGCCACCTGGGTAAAAAAAACAAGATAATCCTTTTTAAAGAAACGTTATAACGTATCAGGCTCCTACAAAAGTGGGAGAAATATATTTTTGTACGCTTGTTTAAATATGCTTTATTTGGAAGATTAACAAAATGTATTTCCTGTGTGTATCAGTGGACAGACCCACAAACTTCTACGTGGGCGTGGCGCAGCAGACCAGCGAGCCGACCCTCCTGGTTCAGTATCTGCTGGCCAACATGACGGGCAGCCACTTCAACATCTCACAGGAGAACTGCAAGAACCAGAGAGAGGACGAGAAGGACGAGGAGAGCAAACATGTAAGACCCATAGAGCTCTTACTTTTATCCATTTATATTTGTTTGGTCATTTAATCTGGGGCGTATTATACCAAAAAGGTCAAGAATGCATCTCAAAGCTCTGTAAATTCATCCCTTTTTTTACCGGCAAACTTGAAAAAAGGAAATAAAAAGGAAAGACAGGAAAAACGTTTTAAGGCGGGAACTAACAATAATTGTATTAAACACATTTTTTTATTAGAAAATAGATTTAAAATGTCTTTCACAAGTTTGCTAAATTGTTTTGTTGAACAACAGTCTCAAATCCCCAAATATTCAATTAATATGATTGTAAAAAAGATCCATGAAATCCAGTAGTAGTAGTAGTAGTAGTAGTAGTAGTAGTAGTAGTAGTAGTAGTAGTAGTAGTAGTAGTAGTAGTAGTAGTAGTAGTAGTAGTAGTAGTAGTAGTAGTAGTAGTAGTAGTAGTAGTAGTAGTAGTAGTAGTAGTAGTAGTAGTATAGTAGTAGTAGTAGTAGTAGTAGTAGTAGTAGTAGTAGTAGTAGTAGTAGTAGTAGTAGTAGTAGTAGTAGTAGTAGTAGTAGTAGTAGTAGTAGTAGTAGTAGTAGTAGTAGTAGCAGTAGCAGCAGTCATTAAAATGTGCATTGACAGCCCTACATATACATAGGATAAAGTAAACCAACATGTATAACCTAGACTTTACATTGAAATACAAATATACTACGCAAATATAAAATAAAGCGACATTTGGACAACATGTTTATTCCCCCTCTCCCTCAGTTGTAGAAGAAAGTTATCTATTGGAACTGTAAATCTGCACGCCTTTGATATATGTACAAATAAGAAGTAATAACCTGTTTATTCCCCCTCTCCCTCCTCAGATGTATTCCTACATGTGGGTCCAGGGCACAGTGCCCCCTAACAACACTGAGAGGGAGGGGTTCTGCGTTCGCTCCACCGTGCGACTCTCCAAAGCTCTGTCCCCGGCCTTCGACCTGAAGGAGTACACCTCCAAAGATTACTCCACGTGGACAGAGTCCCGCTGGAAGGTCATCAAAGGACGCATTTTCCTGGTGGCGAGTCCCGACCTGGAGGTAAACGTCCTTCCTCAGATTTAACACACCAAGTGATGCTGACACACATTGTGCTTTCTTAGAGACGGTAGTGGACAGAACAGAAAAGTAATAATTCATTCTATCTAGAGGCGCCTTTCAAAGCACCCAAGGACACATTCAGTACATGACCGTTACATGTATGATATGTGTGTAATGTGTATTTGTAAAGCGCTTTGAGCATCTGGAAAAGCGCTATATTAAATGTAAGGAATTATTATTATTATTATTATTCATAAAATATTCTAAGGAAAGGTTTAAGACAGTACAAAACAGAGGTGACGGACAGGATCGTAACATTTCCGTCAAAATCCATTATTACCCGTCGGTCTATTCTGTACACAACTCTGACGGGGAGGGGGGGGGAGAGAGAGAGAGAGCACGCTCGTGAACTGTCAACGGAGGGAGGGGGGGAGAGAGAGAGAGAGAGAGAGAGCACGCTTGTGAACTGTTAGCGCCGGTGTTATGCATGCCCACTACACCTCGCGGGAGCAAAAACTCACAGACATTTCAATGATTTGTTCGGCAAAGTACGGTTTGGAAACTATATAACTTCCTTTTTGGCGGGCATGCATAACACGGCAAAACACCGGAGCCTCGCTGTGGGGAAACTTTGGCGCTGTTCTGAGTTTGTTCTAATCTGTCAAAATGACGGACTGCTTTCAGATTTTTCCGTCATTGTTTTAAAAAAAAATGAAAATATTCGGTTAACGCGACCTCTGGTACAAAAGGACCGTAACAGGGAACATGTAGAAGTAGTTACAACATTGAAAAGCAATACCATTATAAATGCAGCTTACACACAGGATATTATTTAGTTGCATTCAATGATTGATGAAGGGCTGTTTAGTGTGAAGACTTTTTGTTGTTCAGCAGCAGACAAAGTTAGTGACTAGCTGGTGAACATGATTTTCAGTGTCAGTGGAGACCAACATGTAGCTAAAATGGGTGTAAATATTTGACTTTAATTCATCAAATTGATCAAATAAACACAACTACAAGCAATTTTAATGTTGCTTTGTGTCTGCTATGTTGTATGTTAGGAAAACAACAGTAACATGCACACCTGTTTAAGAGGAAGATGGCCGTTTGTTCATCCCAAAGGGGAAATCCAGCTTTTTACTCTGTTATTGGATTTGTAACTCTTCTATGTAAGATAAGATAAGACTTTATTTATCCCGAAGGAAATTGTTGTGCCAGAGTTACAAAAATACAATACAATAAACACAGCAGTTAAATATCTACAGGAAACATGAAACATAGACGGTCACATAATTAATGTAAATATTAACAGTATTCAGTAGTGCAAAAAAACGTAGTGGCAGATACGTAATTGCACGTTATCGTAGCACATTATTAATAATAATATTGCACATGTTATATAGCAGCGAGTGTTTTGTAATGATGCTAACTGTCTGTTTTCCTCCCCCAGATGATGACGCTGGGTGTGGGCGTCGGCGTGCTGATCACCTCCCTCCTGCTGACGTACATCATGAGCTCGAAGGCCGACATCCTCTTCAGCTCGGGACGGGAACCCGCCAACGCCACCTACTGATCCAGACTGACCACTACTACTTCTAATACTACTACTACTATTTCTACAAGTACTACTTCTGCCCCACCCTGACATGAACACGGTCTTTTCTTTAAAACACGCCACAAGTAGGTACACGGACAGGTTAGACACAGAAGCAGAGGTTATTTTTTTTTTTTTTTTTTTTCGACTACTCCATGTTTAAGGACTCACTCAGGTGAGGCGGGACATGAAGACTGGACCGGACTGGACGGATCTGGACTCATCAGGGTCAAACAGGCCCTGTCAGTGGACAAGATGTTTATATTTCTTTTGTTTTAAAGGTTTTTTGTTTTCTCTTTTTATTGTCAAAGAATGTTTACTCTGTCCTTGGATAGGCACTAAACATTGAGCATTACTTTGAACATATGTGTCTGATTGTGAATATGTAAATGTGACCGAGTGTGTGAGTGTGTCGGGGATGATTATGAGTGTGTGTGTGTGTCTGAACTTTGAATGAGGATTGCGATGGTATGTGCAATACTGTAGCTGTCTTCTCTGTCATTATAGTTAACTTATCAATCAGTTCTAATAAGAAGAAACCACTTTTTTTGAGTCAGTGAACAAGTAGTTAAATTTAAGTTTTTTTGCTAATTCTGGAAATGTGTGGTGGCGTTTTTGATAAGTTTTAGGTTCTTGGACAACAATCCTAAATATTTATATTTGCGGAGTCCCAGTACACATATAAATACTACACATGTATGTAGTGGTAGACCCACTGCAATTTCACATATTGTGATATTTGTGTGGAGGAGAAGAATTCCCCCTGAGCACGGCATGGCAGACACACTTTACTTTATATCGAATAAAACGTCAAATCCAGTCAGAAAATCTTGTGTTTCGACACGTCAAATGCGCTGGTGCTCTGGTTGTGCACTCCTTTTGGGTTAAACCTTTTTAACAAGGTTTCTTTTAATGATGACTTTGTAAAGAAAAGTGTCAACACGCAGAAGGATTTTAATTAATTTTGTTGTAATGTAACGGCTGGAATCAACGACCAATTGTGATGCCTTGATGAAGAAATAAACATTGCTTTTTTTTCAATGTTTTTCTTTTCCTTTAATTGTCAACAAACTGCTGAAATGTGACTGATGTTTCGGCCTGAAGAGCTTCCTGTTATGAATAAGGCTGGAGTTTGAGGTGGACAATTAAATTAGATCTTTAACTATGGTAAAAGAAAAGTAACATCACTGTCAAAATGCTACAAGTGAAATCCTTGCATAAAAAGTTAAGTACAAGCATTAAAATATACTTGAATTACAAAAAGTAAAACTGCTTATTCTGCACATTACATGTCATTTGTTAGACGCTTTTATCCAAAGCGACTTACATACATTCAGTCAGTACTGTGGACAATCCCCACAGGAGCAATTTGGGGTGAAGTGTCTTGCCCAGGGACACAACGACAGTAGACTGCAGTGGGACTCGAACTTGCTACCCCCTGATTCGAAGTCCAGCACTTTATCCACTGAGCCACAGCCGCCCATAGACTTTTCGCCTGAACAGGGACTTGAACCCCGGACCCTCAGATTAAAAGTCTGATGCTCTACCATCTGAGCTATCCAGGCTTCATACATACACAACACATCATACTATATTATATTATATACTTCAGGGTTAGTAAAGTAGGAGCTTTTTCTGTTTTGTACTATATATTCCGTGATAGCTTGTTCATTTCAATATCAGATCCAAAAAGTAACCTTTAATAATAATATTAGATTCATAATTTGTTGATTTTATACTGTATTATTAGTCCGAATTACCTAATATTTTAAGTAGCAGGAAATGGAAATACTCAAGCAAAGTACCTTAAGTACTTTCGTAAATAAGTCACAGTTACTGTCAACCATTGACTGGAAGCGTTGCACCCAAAAGTCTCGTGAAATATAATCAGCCAAATACGGTTTCCTCCGTTTACCATTTTATTTAAACATTTAAACAAACGAACCTTTATCAAAGCCCCTCAAGAGTGATATCTTCCTTTTGGAATAACATCATCTAAAATATACAGACACCCTTTATCACAAATCACATCTCAATCATTATTTCTTCCTTGCTTTACTTGAGGTTTGTTTGCCAAGAATGTGTCAGCATGAAATATAATTGGTACGTTGAAGACAAAGTATTGGGATGTGTGTGTTTTTGTAAACCCGCAGTCCATATGTTGAGGTCACTTCACCTGAACCACACGGAGAAAGCCTAATTGTCTCTCTTTGGATACACGACACCACTGGTTTTCAGCCTTTTGACCTTTTGACCCCTTAAACATGGAGTCAATGAGCTGTAAGCAGCGCATCAGATACATTTACTACCCTGAGGCTTACAACAAATAAATCCAGTATTTTACGAAAGTTCACAGATTGAAAACAATTCTGAAAAACATATAATTTGTTTAGAAGAACTGCAGTAGGTTTTTTATCCCGTTTATCATACTGTGACTGGTCAGTTGGAGGGGTCCTGAACCCGTAGATTTTAAGCTAAAAACACATTTATTACCATTCATTTCTTCTTTATTTTTTTTATCATTAAGGGTTTTTAAAGAGGTTTATATGTGTTGGTTTCTTTGGTTTATTCTTACAGCGAGAAACAGCCTGATTCTACAAATAAATAATCAGGTTTTATTAATTTGACCATTGAGTCATTGAGAACAATGATGACAATCTCATCAAAGAAATGGGAGTTATTCAATAAAGCATGTAATAAATGCATGTTGTGTCTTTAATAAGTGAGGGCACAACATGATTAACCAAGCTTTTAATTTACCCTTATGAGTTTAACATGTTAAAGGACTAATTGTTTTGGTTATATCATATTTTCCTGTATGTAATAGCGTTTGAATGCATCTGGACCAATAGTGTTTTTTAACAGCTTTGTAATGATGATGTTGATTGTTGTTCTGGTAGGATCTTCCCATCAGCAGCTCCATTACATGTTGCTCTTTTTAATGGGCCACTTATTTTGTGACATAATACTGACCACTGCTCACTTAGTGGACACACACACACACACACACACACACACACACACACACACACACACACACACACACACACACACACACACACACACACACAGAGGATGATCAGTGTTTTGTGAACACACCGTCTCACAGGCCCTGTCCCCCGGGGGCAGAGGAGGGGCCAAAGTGAGCGGAGGCGGGGCGCACGGTGCTACGGCTGAGTGGAAAGAAAGTGGAAAGTGAGAAAATACCTGAATGGACAATCTACACTAAGTAAGTCGTATTTTTGTGTTGAAAATGTCTTTTAAAATGCTGCTTGGTGGTTGGAGTACGGGTGCATGGGCGCTGCTTTTACGCAGGCGGAGGGCAGGGCTCGGAGATCTCCGGTTTCCCCAAACAATAGTCGACAGGACGCGATGGTCGCCTTTTTTTTTTATAACCACAGGGAAGTTAAGGACCCTCGGCGTCCCTATTGTTGTTCTCACCGAGGCCACGTAGCTCTGAGGGGCGATTTCAAACGTGGGAGGAAGGGGGTAATGTTTATGACCAGAGGATAGAAAGGGTTCACGGAGAGGGGATGAGCATGGGGGGGATAATCGCGTCCAGTTTGATTACTGTAGGCCGAGGGATTTTGAATTTCTGAGTGGCTCATTCATTTACTGTGAGGGCGTCCCGTTTGGAGAGGCAAAGGCGGAAGAAAAGGAGCATTTCTGGATCATTTGGCATCAGGACGCCACCGGTGGGGCCTGGGAGTCTCCCATTGTCCTGCCTGTACTACAGCACCCTCCCTTTTCATTTTGTAGGTCGCACAACTCTTTTATATTCGCCCTAAATGCTGCTGGTTCCTCACAGTAAGTCAGCCTTTTGTGCATGTGGAGTGTTGTTGAATTATTGATGCCGCTTGCCTCTTGATCCGTGTTACCACATCCACCGGTGGGAAGCTAAGATGTGTCCAAATGGTTTAATGCGTTTTTGCGCCGATCAAATGTTGGAATTCAAAGTGAAACAGAGTCATGTTTCTGCTGTAGCAACAGGCCCTGATTTACCCAGCTGTGGTGGGGGCTTCATGTACATGCTGGCTTTGCAAGTGTTTTATTTTATGGTAAACATGAGAGTAATGGGCTTACTGTGCGAGGAATAAACTACTTTTATAATTGCTCAGTGATACAAAGCACTAACGTATGGTATACAGTGCTGGCATAGGGAAAGCAGGACATACATGAAGTATTGCATGGTCACTGTAAATATACAGTAACAGGGATTTTACTGTCATATCACAGTACAGTCAGTAAAGCTAGTTCAGTATAGAGATTCTGTTGACACACATGTAGAAGTATCACTAAACATGGTGAGGTAATACATATCTTAATATGGTCCAGTAGGTCATGACCCACCTTTATTTTCGGTTTAATCGTTAAGTCAATACAAGGTCAAAAATAGTGACTCCTTACAGAGTAGAAGGTGACTTACAATTAAAATCCTCACATTCATGAAGCTGGATAAAGTCTATGTATGACATTTTAACTTAAATATCCTGAACAATCTATTGATTATGAAAATATGTTGGCAATTATCATCAATTGAAAGACTATTTGTTGCTGTATTACAGAACCTCTCTGTCTTTAATCGCCACCTCTTCACTCAGTGCGTCATTGGTTTACTTGAGAAATTGAGATAAAATCCTGAAAACAACCAATATTATTAATACGACAGCTGTTACTCAATGTCTGATTTAGGAGTAGAACATACTTAAAGCTGTGAAATGAATTTTCTCTTCAGGGAGAAATAAGGCATTCTTCTCATGTGTAATCACATCTTGTTGTATTACATTGTTAAACGGGTAAACATCTAAACGCTCGAGGGGAAATCGTCCAATGTCATGTTTACTCAATTTACACAGACTCAGAGAAAACCAAATCATCCCGAGAATCTAGAAACTAACAAATATGGAAATCAATTATCAAATGTAATCATGTGACAGTTTGTGGGTTGTTTTCAATGGCTGGAAAACAGTAGGGCTGCAACTAATGATTATGTTAGTTATCAAATAATCTGCTTATTATTTTCTAGATGAGTTTATTCACCAATTGGTTTATAAAATGTCAGATAATATGTCCAAGGCGAATGTCCAGTCCCAAACCCAAAGATGTCCAGTTTAATATGATAATATATGGAGAAAAGCTGGAAATCTTCATAATGAGGACGCTGAAAACAATTGCACTGTTTGCATAAAAAATGACTTTAACGATGAAACAATTAACACAATTGATTATTTATGACTTGCAGCTTTAGAAGGCAGTCCCTATTAAATCTGTTGTCTGTTACATCTGTAGGTCCTTTAGTGTTCATTGTTGCTCATTTGAAAGCCATGTTGTTGTTGTTGAGGTTTTCAAATGTCATTTTAAAATACTTTAAGAACAGCAAATTAGATTTCCCTCAGCCGCCGCTGTAGATATCTCAAACCCAGAGGAGATACAACTGAAACTACATGGTTATAGGGGTAATGTTGTTTATGGTTTTGGTTAATCTTACCCTTAAACATGTTTGTCTAACTGGATTTATGAGGAAATATATGTGGCCCCACACAGGCTAATGGAGCAGAGTCCCGTATCTGAACCACATCCATCTGATCTGCGCTCATTCAGCCACTTCCTGTCTACTCAATACTTTGTTTGGATATGAAGACAGATCGTGTGGAGGGGTCTCTTTGAATCACAGCGCAGAGCAGAGGACAGGCCTGTTGATCCAACCATATCCGGATAGATACACACACACACACACACACACACACACACACACACACACACACACACACACACACACACACACACACACACACACACACCTGTTCTGGTTTGCTGGCCATGTGTGCTCGAGGCTGACAGTAGCAGTTGTCTTGTTTTTTTTCATGGTTTTACTGACGTTGTCGCAGGCAGCAGTGGGTGGTGGTCAGCCCTGTGTGTGTGTGTGTGTGTGGCCTGTGGTACAGTGATGAGCCTCTTCCCCTGCTCGTCCCTGGGTGTGTGCACACTTATTTTCACAGTTGGCACATCAGGCCTCAAATGGCTGTTGAATGGAGCCGGTCAGTTCGCAGATGAAGGCCCAGATTGCTGCTCCGCCCTGACAGCTGCTGTCTCTGTTCCAGTAGCTCCAAATGTTCGATGACAGCTTGATTTCTTTTTGCCTTTGGGAAAAGAGAGGCTGTTAAAAAAATCCTACATCTGCTCGTTTTTAAATGTTTGACGCTACCTTCACGTTAGCAGCTACATTCCTGGGTAATTTTCGTAGCTTTTATAAGTGGGTTTGAGGAATTTATATGGGAGCATGGACTTAATGACTGAACATTTAAATCAAAATGTTCACCTTTGCAAGGCAAGTTTATATATAAAACACTAAGGGGGGATATACATAATGCACAGGAGGCACATCTTTATCGGAACAAAGTTAGATATAGCTGTAATATTCATTTTAAATGCAAAGATATAAGGGCAAGGTCTTTTTTGACATATTTTAATACTGGTGTCTGTGCAAGTTTTTGTACAGGCACCAAAACAACCTTCTCTTAATGCCTCGTTTAAAAAAATGCACTAAAAGCAGACAAATAACTTTGTTTGAATGAAATAGACTCGAAATATTCTGGATAAAGTAATAAAATGTAAGGAAAAAGTCCACATTCTCCATTTATAAACAGGCTACGTGCGTCGGCTTCTATTCTTTGGATTAAATTGGATGTTTTTTAAACAAAAGGTTAAATAAAATAACTCCAGTATTAAAATGTGTAAAGAGATATGATTGAAAAGATGATTACCTTTTTTAATTATTTTTTCCATAGAATACTTTTCCCAGATGGGTGGCTAGTAAAACATGTCTTAGACTTTGGACTCACAACCTCATGTAAACACTGGCTATACCGTCTTTCCTAGAAGAAAAGTAGTGGGCTCACAGGAAACAGCTATCTTTGCTATCAGTTAACGATGGATATTAAATGGCTTTATAATCCCTTTGGCCCGAGCAAAGAGAAATATCTAACCTTGGCACATGTAGGCATGAAACCCAGCATCATTACTGTTTAATCTCAGACCACACACCTCCACAGATTACTGAACCGCCTGTTGTTGGCACCTCTTAAACAAGCCCAGAGTGAACAAGGGTCATTTTCTTTTTTTAGAAATCAGACTTTGAGGCAGGGTTGTGAGAAATGAATGAGTTGTGTGTCAAAAGAAACCCTGAAATAACCTAAAGAAGGACACTGCTGTTTGTTGAACAATGGCTTTCCAGGAGCAGAAACTGAGGCAATATCAGTAAAAAGGAACCTAGCTAATTATTAACAATGTTAGGTTATGTTTTCACAGAAAAGTCTGTTGCTTGTTTATTTAACGTTAATGCAGCTGACTTCAGTGGATTAGAAGAGTTCCGGGGAAGCTCATTAAGTAGGACATAGGACACTGGGATGAATAGGAAACCTTATCCACCCAAACACTGGACCACACCCCTGAAGATCAAGTGCTCCATCATATTCCCACTAACAGTCTGTCAGAGAGACAGACTCGCCTCAAACTGCAGTTCAAGTTGAAGTCGTTGAAGAGTAGATTACCCTAGCGCAGCTCAAGTGTCAGAGTTTCGGATACTACTGACGAAACGGCATGTGAAGTGCCATAATATACAAGCTAAAGGCATTCAGTGGTTATGTTTTATCATGTAAATGACATGTTAGGCTACAGGGCTGGCTAAATGTATTAAATTGCTAGAATTATGACACTCAGTATCGATAAATATGAAGCTCCAGCCAGTTAGCTTAGCATAAAGACTGGAAACAGATGGAAGCAGCTAGCCCGGCTCTGTCAGAAGGTAACAAAATCATATCAGCAGCACCTTAAAAACTCACTTATGTTATATCACAATCGTTTGTGATATAAAACATTTAGCTAGTTAATGTGGGGTAATGTGCTGGACTGTTTCTACTATCCCCATTTAAAGCAGCAAATTGAAGCTTTAGCACCAGCTATACAGATGAAACAACATATGTTTTTGTCGAATAAAAATTGTAGCTTTACAGGTGCTAATAGATGGATTTAGCTATTTTTAAACAGTGGTTTCCCCTTGTGTCCAGGCTTTGTGCTAAGCTAAGCTAATCTGCTGCTAGTTCCAGCAACATATTTACTGTAGAAACATGGCGAGATGAGGAATACATGTATCAAACTACTTGTCCAGTGATAATATTTATTTTAAGACTAACGGACCGTCCACACAGCAGCGTTAAAAAAATCTTGAAACGCTTCTGCCCATTCACTTTGAATGGGGTGACGTCACTTTCCCTCACTTTTCGCCGAACTGCATTGTGGGCAGGCGAGCGGAGATTTTCAGGATTTTCAGGATTCAAAGTTGAGCAATGTTCAACTTTTGAGGCTGAGGTGGAAGCGTCAGCCAATCAAATCCTGTGTACGCAAATCTGACAGTTCAAGCTCTAGCCAATCAAACGGCGTGTATGCTGGGAGAGACATACCGCAGGTCATTTCCTCATATTCCAAAAAATGGAGGAGAAATTAGCGGTAGGGAATCACCCGGTGCTTTATGACCAGTCCCTATTTACCTACCGGGATATAAACCGGAGGAGCCAGGCATGGAGGGAGGTGGCAGAGACAGTGGTAGGTTTTCGCCTGTTTGGGGAGTTTATATCCAGTTTACTTCGGGCTTTTTTGCTTCGTATGTCGGGGGCGGGAGATTCATGTGATTGGTTGTTGGTGCCTTGCTCGCAAAAAATCCCCAAGCTTCAGATACGCCCACCTCCAAGATTTTTTTAACGCTGCTGTGTGGACGGTCCGTTACAGGGATGGATGTAGAGGGCTCAAGC